AGAAAGAAAGAAAGAAAGAAAGAAAGAAAGAAAGAAAGAAAGAAAGAAAGAAAGAAAGAAAGAAAGAAAGAAAGAAAGAAAGAAAGAAAGAAAGTCCCGCTCTGATAGGTGTTTACTTTTTCATTTGTGATTTCTGACTGTCTTCCACATATTGTGTAGAGTACCTACTGGTCCTTCCTTTTGTTAGCACAAGAAAATTGGTAGTTTTTTTATGACATCCACACAAGGATGCTTCCTAGTTCAAGGTACTTAAGTGCAGTCTAGAACAAAAAATGTAAAAGAAAAATTCTAAACCACAAATACAAAAATCCCTTTTTGCAAGTGAAACTCTATAATAAAACCATGGCTTTATGCACTCCTATAATACAATGAAAACCCATTGAAACCTAGCTATTTCTGAGCTAAAAAGTGATGTTACCCACCTGGGTAACTTCTTAAATAACTGCATTTTAAAGGTACATTTGCCAGTCTGAGTTACTTCTGAGTGTACGTTTTCAGCTGTTGGTCTACCTGTGTAGTGATGCAGTAATGGCTGAAGTCCCCGGAGTGCCCTCTTATACATGGGTTTTCTTTCCAAAGATTCTGCACAACAGACCTAATATTGCTTAAAGAGTATTGAAAATATCCAATGCACTTTGTGTAAGAACAGCTGCACCTCAATCACAGCTTTGGATCAGAGCAAAGGGCATTATCTTGTGTCTTCCAGTTTTTTCCTATCTATTGCACTTTGGTTCAGGTCTCAGAGCACAGGAAACGCTTTTCTCTTGTATAAAACTGAACCAAAGGCACAATCCAGTATACTCCCAGCACTAATGGGCTTTTTGCCTGTAAGAATAGATTAGACCTGGTCCAAAGCAAGACCCCTGACATGCCCAGTGTGTGGATTCTGGGTCAGCAGAACCAACTGTTTTGCTCTGCAGATAAGTTCCATGTGGGGTAGGCTGCTCATAGTGTGTGCCTAGCTTGTCTCAGTAGACTCACATCCAAAGACAGTGACGTGTTCAGGAGATTATCTGCACAGGTAAGTGGGGTTGTTGGTGTAAAGGGCATTCATGGGCATGTTTATATACCTCTTCAGTGCCTCAGGCATATAAAAATCCAATTGCTTTGTGTCCTAGGTCTCTTAACAGAGATACAGTGCAAGTCAAAAAGGCTACGGAAAAATGTGAAGCAGCCCCCAGATCAGACAGTCAATGAAGACAGTGAAGGCCATGATGTGAAACAAGTCACTTCTACAACTAAAATATATAGGGTAAGAGAATTCTTGTAATTCTTCATACAGTACTGGTGATATGATTTTTGTTAAATGCATCTAGTACAGTGAATAAAGATTATTGAAAACCCTCTGGAGCTACCTGCATTGATTAAAACTCTACCTTCTATGAAGTCAAGGAAATACCTTGACTGTAAAGTAGTTCTGATATTTTTAGTCAAACCCTGTAAAGCATCTGTAAGATCCATGCAATATTTTTTCAGTGGTACATACATCACTTCACACAGTGAAGTGTGAAACTTGAAGACATCTAGTCATTTGCTAAACATTTCCTTATTTCTGATAATTAACTGCACAAACCTATGCAGTTTAAAAACATTATACACCTCTGTTTTGTACACTTCTGTAAAAGCCTCAGTGACAAGCAAACTTCATATCTCCTTGGTCTCCAAATGGTGAAAAATAGATGTATAGCTTTTGCCTAAAGCAAGAGATGCTACATCATTGCTATGACTGCATTTCATGATGAGTTTTTTTGGTTTGTTTTTTTTTGCCAGTATAGGAGAAGGTAGAGCTTACCCCAGAACAGCAGAAACTTCTTGATTATATTATGGATTCATACAGTAAGCAACAAATACCACAGGAAGTGTCAAAAAAACTAGTAAGTATATTCAAATTAGTTTTTGAAACACTGAAAATTAAGCTGAAGATTACAAGGCAAAAAATATTTGTAGTCAGCATAAGCTGGTGCAGTAAGTAGAGCAAACTATGGGCTTATACTTAATGTATGCTGAAAGTGGGGAGAATCTCTCCCGTTCAGTCAACTATTAGACTACATCTTCATCAAACTTAAATGTTAAGAAAAATCTTTCAACTCTAGAATAAGACTTTTATGATCAAATGTAACCTTTGCTGATTGGAGCTTTGTTTTTTCCACTGTCAGTGTAGGAAGTGATCTGAGTTTGACTTGTCAGACTTCCTTTCTGTAAAGACACCAGCCGGGAATCTTGAAAATATTTTCTAGAGTAAAAGACACTGTCTATTTCTTATGTTGCCTTCCAAAATACTTGATTTTGACAATATTGGAGACAAATCACAGTGTTTGGTGGAACTCTTGCCTGGACCAGTCTGAGTTCTTGTATTTTGTGCTCTTAAATATAAAATGTCAGTGAAAATTAACAGATTTTGTTTGGTTTGATTTTTTGACAGTTGAACGAGGAATTCAGCGCTGAAGATAATTTTCTGATTTTAACAGAAATGGCTACCAGTCATGTGCAAGTTCTTGTGGAATTCACTAAAAAACTACCAGGTATATCCTGCATGTTGGGGAAAATGTTGTTATTGCAAAGCTTACATGCTTTCTGTTGCCTTTTGGCAGTCTTCGTGTGTATTTTAAAGACTATTTTAAAATGCCTGATCCTTCCACATATTGTTTAGATACTGTATAAAGAAAATGTGGTTTGTGCTCAGAAGAACAGTAGACTGAAAAATCCAAACTCTGCTACTCCAAGATGTGGCACCCCTTAGCTATTGACAAAGAAAATGCTCAAAGAAGAGATTGTGTCTGTAGAGCGACTTTATTTTTTATATATTACTGCAGTGCCAAATAGTCTGCCTCTAAATTACTACTAACACTTGCTAGACTCTACCTCATTCCCTTTGCTGCCTTTCTAGCAATGCCTCTAGGTTATAACATCCACTGAATTGTGAGTTCCACACAAGAACTTTCTCTAGTTGGTGGCACCAGTATTTATGGTCCTTTTGTAGTGTGTTATGGACAAGAGCTGAACATCTGAGTTTATCAGCATTTTTTAACTCTCAAGTTCATGTTACCTCAAGACTGAACACTGGATATATGGTAGAGTTCCCCTTTAACTAAGGAAGGTGCATTTTAACACTGAAAGTAGCACGGCATTGGGAAAGGAGTATAGAGAGTTCTGGTGGAAACATGACAAAAGATATTATGGAGCAGCATCGGGTTACACAAAATTCTTAATATTGGTTATGATACACCACACTTTGCTTATCATCTAAAAGTACCACGAACACTGAAGTAGATGTAAATCCTCATAAACTTTGGGGAGGTTCAAATCAGTCTCATTTTCTGAAGTCCAGGTTTGAGTGTCTGCAGCACTTTGCAACCCTAGTGACACCAACATTGAGGTTGTGCAGATATGTGGCACCTCACATGCAGGAATTTCAGGACGGAAAGAAGTGGGAGCTGTTTCTTTTGCTGCCTGACTTGTCTCTTATGTGTCTTCAGGCTTCCAAACCCTTGATCATGAAGACCAGATTGCTTTGCTGAAGGGCTCAGCAGTAGAAGCCATGTTCCTCCGTTCAGCTGAGATTTTCAGCAAGAAACTTCCTACGGGACACACTGTCCTTTTAGAAGAAAGAATTCGCAATAGTGGTAGGTAACTTGTTAAATGGGGCCAAACCAAACCACACCATTGCACTTCTGTGTCAGTATTTGGCCCTTGGGAAGCAAGTAAGGTTGTTTAGTAGCACTGAGATAGATTTATCTAAATGTTGTTCTTTACATTAACTAGAAGAAATCTAACTGAGCCTTCAGTCTAAAGTTCATAAGGTAAAGGATTCTTTACAAATTCATTGCAACTATTATGAGTAATGCTACATCAGATAAACCTAGTGCATGTCTCCAATGATAAGTATGAAAGAAGGACAAAGAAGATTACCATTTCAAATTGTTAATGTAAAGTATTGTTAATTATGCTTTCAAAGAGAATCCCTAAAAGAAGATTTTAGGATGTTACTGAAGATGACTGAAGGCAAGCACCTATTCTTAGGGTTGTTCTAGTAAAATTGAATCACACTTAACAAGGGGCATAGAAGAATTACAAATACAGCATGTTCTCAGTATGTTTTTTACTTCTTAAGGTCCACTGAAATCTCAGTGACTCAGATAAATTCCACTGGTTCTAGACATAAATCGTAATAGTTAGGAAAAGCCGAATGGGGCTAGATGTTGTTTGTTCCTTAGAGAAAAGTGGTGCCTTACATGATTATGCATTGTTTGTGCTCCACCAATGTAATACTGAATGTTTTGCCTTTTTCTGTATTGGCCAGCCAGCTTTATCCAACCCTCAGATACTTATCAATTAATATTCAAATGGATCAACAATTCTGAAAAAGAGAGTCAGTCTATAGATTCTGGCTTCTGATTTTCCTTTTTGAAGATCAGAAGGAGAAGAGACAGAAGAGCATAACCTCAGTATTAGTTATGGAAATGGGCTTGAACTCAGTTCAGAAAGTACTACTGATGTAAGCAAAATTAAGCCAATACTTACATATTTGATTCACTAAAAAGGAGTCAGAATACTTGAGAATAATTCACTAGTCGAACATATATATTTATTCTGGCTTAGCATACTCTTTTATAATTAGTAGTTTTTTATATTTCTTTCATTTTGATTGATTATGAGAGGGTACTGTTTGATGGACTGGAAACAGTGACTTCCAGAGTGATATGAATAGCTTCTGGTCCAGATTCTGCAGGCAGAGAGCTATGCCAAGAAGGCCAGATATGTTTCCTGGAAACTGTAATGAGTTGTCACAGATCCAAATGTCTTCATTAAGAGATTTTTTTACTGGATTATAACCCACATTTTTGATAAAAATAGGTTTTAGAGAAATGAATCCATATGGCAACATGATTAATGAAAGCTTCTCTTCTCTAATCTGTAAAATGAGTAGGAAGCTTCTTTGTTCAGGCTATCAACTATTCATTAAAAAAACCAAAAGCAGGAAATACTTTAATCCAGAACATTGCTTAAGCCATTATGTCATATCAATTTTTCCTTAGCCATAATTGTAAAATATTCTTTTAATTCACTGCAACTATTGAATCCAGATGAGATGTAATATTATATTCTACAAGTTTGTGCTTAACTTCATGATAACACAACTGGCTGGAATATTACATTGTATCCTGCCTTAGTATTATTTACCTGTCATATTGCAGATTTTTAAAAAAAGAATTTTGTGTAGAACAATTTAGAAGAAATTTGTGTAGAAATTTCAGGACAAGTAACAAGTGTGCTAGATTTCCCGCAATTCTTTTTTTTTTTTTCCTCTGGGGAAAAAACTCCAGGGCAAATTAAAAGCAAATTCTTAGACCAAAAACCCAGACTGGACAGTTCCCAAGAAATGAAACACAATAATTTTTATATGTGTATGCACATATAAATACAAATGCGTATCTTCTTGCTTTTGGAAGAGGCTTTCTAAAACATTTTCCCTCCAGCCAGGATCAAGTTGAAGACATAAGAGGAAATACTGATGTTAGAAGTTCCCCCTCCATGTATTCCAGGAGAATAATGTATTATCCAGCTTACTGCTGCTGACTGCATTTTTTCCTTCTATTAATAGCCAGAATACAGAATAAAATAACTTTTCCCTTCTATTTTATTTCTCTACTTAGTGCAAATTCAAATCTACTTTAAAAGATTTTCCTTTGCTGCATTTAATGGGGCTGTGACAATAAAAAAAACAGATTGTAAATCTTTGCATTTGTAGCTTACTTACTGCTACTGTACCTATTTCACTTTTAAATAAATGAAACCTTGAAATAGTTTTAAAATATCTACTACAGAAACAGCTTATTTTTGCAGCTTAAATCCTCATTGTTTTCATGTGTAAAACTAAAAAAAAAGAAAGAAAAGCATCCAAATTCTTCTGTTATCATTGTTTACACATACAGCTTTCACTGTTATTTCATTAATATGTAATATAAATTATAGCAAAATAAAAAATATTACAAATATTGAAAATTAAAATTACTAAGTATTATGCAGTTCACATCCCTGCATACCATAGGAATCAACATCAGGGTTCCAGGTTTCCTGTACCAAATGTGACATTAAAGTAGAAATGTAAGCAATCTTTTCCAGCCTTAATCAGTAAAAACAAATGCTACCAAAAGCTGCAGCTGCCCATTATCATGTTATAGACTGGTCCAAGAGATAAGAATGGCCACAAGAGATTAAACCCCTCTTTTTCCATATGCCTCTCTGGAAAACAAATAAACACAGAAATAAAAAAGGCTAAATGCAGCAAACTGAAACATACAAAGACAATAGAGAGCATCGAAGAAATTCAGTGATGGCTGAGTGGGAGTTTAAAAATCAAGTTTATAGGTAACAAATGAAGAAACAAGATTATTTATGGCTCCTAGTGAGGTCCTAAACATTGTCATGCCAGCAGCTATAAATTATTACTGTCAGTCAGAATTTCTTTCTGTCTGTATATTTTAGGTACAGACTAATGCCTGAATATCACATAAGTTCTATTGTCAGGCTGTGATGCCTTATCCATAAAATCAAGGAGGGTGGTGGTGATCCTGCCTAAAAGTCACAAGCTGTCCAGACTTCTGTCACCTGCCACCACGTCCACTTTGAAGCTGCTCTCATCTATTAATATTTATGTCTTCTCCAGTCTGATTGTATGGAATGTTAGGGGTTTTTTTTTCTGATAAAGAAGTCAGAGATATGGTGGTGATGACCTTTGAGCATTATCAGCATTCATTTTCATTCTCATGCTGATGAGGTGTATTTTTATTTCTCAGCTTGTGCATATTGCTCAAGTCCCTCTGCACCTCAGAGACTGTCTTTGTCTGAGCCCTGATGGTCTTTCTCCATAAGCTATTATGAAAATTCTCACATTAGGTGCTCCTGTGGCTGAAATCCTCTCCTATGTACCCTAATATTGAAACTTAATGAGAAATACAGACTTTTGTTTAAAGTTACTGAGATTTGGTGCCATTTACTCATCTTATTTGATGCTTCATTATGTATATACCATATTGTGATTAGCTCATTTTGTGAAAGGCTGACATTCTAGTAATTTAATGCTATTTTAATGTTTTTCTGTTGTTTTGAAAGTGAATTCTCCTCATTATTGAGCAGTACAGTATTTTTAAAAAACAGAGCTGAGATACAGAAATTTTTTCTGTGAGCATTTGTAGTTTGTCTTGCTAAAGATACCAGGTTTCAGTAGTCATGAAAAGACAGAGATTTTTATTTTGTCATTTTACTCTACAGAGCAGTTCTAGGAATTTGAGTATTGGGAAATAAAATACCGATATTGACAGAAAGGGAAGAATCTGGACACAAATTTTAAGTTGGCAGCAGGACCTCTGACATTGTGAAATACACTGTTGTCTTCCTGGATGGGTTACAGGTGCTGAAGTACACTCAGATCCAAGGAAAAAAAGAAATAGCCGCACTTTCAAAGCATTGGCAAGAGGCCACCTTTTTCCATTGAATGTGGGATACAAAGTTCCCATTGATTTGGACAAGAGGCTCCTGCAACCTAAAGCAAAGTTTGGTGTTGGAACATGGATACCTAATAATTTCCATTGCCCTTGTCTTCTCTAATTTGGTCATTAGTACTCAGCAAGGGTGATGCTTCAAATCTCCCTTGTGCTGGGGTTTGTGCTGAGAAACAAAATTATCTTCACTGACGTGTCCAAAGTATCTAACCCTCCAAATGGTCATGTGCATCCTCGTGGAAGGAGACACATCATCTTGTGACTCAAGGCAAAACTGGCACAATGCCGAAAACATTTAGAAATTTAGACCACTCTAAATTGCATAATATAGGAAATAACTTTTCTGTTCACATCTACCACACAGAGTCATCCAGTGCTAGGTACCTGAAGTACAAATGAAGTTGCTAAAATTATTTAAATCATATCTACAGAATAGAGCTATTCCCATGAAAGCAAGAACAGATGTCAGGGGCCCAATCTCTTTTCTTCTGCATAAGTGTACTTCTTCAGGCCAAAAACTTTTTTAGACTCTGCCTATGAAGACTAGCTCACGGCAGTGCAGATGCTGCTACTGTGTGCCAGACCACATTTCTCTCTTGACTGCAGGCACTCAGGCCACTGCTAAAGGAGGGTATGTGGAAAGGTCATTTGCACCCTTCTTACAAGCTTGGTTTGTTGTTTGTTTGGTTGGTTTTTTTTAAACTAAGGTTTCTTTGCTTGCAATTATGACTTAACAGATGTCCTATGATTGCTTTAAAGAAGATGGGCGTTTGGTACTTGGTTGTGAGTTCTGCTCAGCACATGCTAATGTCTCATTTAAGTTGGCCATTTAACACCTACAAGACAATGGCAGACAGAAAAGCGTGTGCCCATGCTCTGATGTGTCTTCTCTCCTGGCTAGATATTCCCCTGATTTGGCACTCAGCATCAAGGGAGTGAATTTGGTCAGTTTGATGCATTTGAATAGCTCAGAAGGCAGAGCTAATAAGCAGCATAAAAAGCAATTCTGGTAGATGGAATAATATGAAAGATAAAATGTAAGTTTGTGAGTAATTAGAATATTTTATTTGCATAAAGCAGCTACTAATATACCCTTGGTTTCATATTCACTAACACTTCAATGTTTATCAAGAAAAAATGATCTCTATCTATATTAATAACACAGTGCTAGTTACTGCTAATTAGCATTTAGTTGCAAGCTTCCTTCTTGCAATAGATTAATTATTCAGTTTTGCAAAATGGCCAAAATAGAAGAGAGAATGCTGTCTCCAAAAGCTCAAAAAAATACTGACTTGATATCACAGTAAATACACGTATTCCAGGATTATGTTAAACAGATAATTATTCATGGCCTGAAACTGCAAACCTTATCAAGGTATCAGTCATCTTACCATTACAGAGAAATCATAACAATAAAACTCTAAAAAAGACAAGGTCTAAAGTAATGCTGAGTCTTGAACTACAGATGGGGATGAACTTGTGCAAGTAAGGGGTGTTGAATGAATAATGTTCATGGGTTTAAATCTGCTCTAGTTTGATGCTGCAAAGCTGCACTCAGTAAAGCTTGTATTTCCCAATGACCACGCTTGGGTTTCCAGCCAGACATGCATGAATATATCGAAATAATCCAATGATCTGCAGTATCTTCTGCAGGTGGCTGAGCTGGGTTAGGAAGGAGCCCGTATGATGCAGAAAGATGCCCAATGACATATGAAGGATAAGCACACTCTTACTGCCGTAACGCTGCATGAAACAAGGTTTTTGAAACTTTTTAGAAGAAAGTTAGGAAGGAGGCACTGTTAGCAGTGACCAGGAAGCTCTGCCTGCCTGACAGCACTGTGCAGGGCTCCCGTCTGATCTAAATATAGAGAGTTAGGCGGAACTAACTTTTCTGTTCTCTATGAGGCCTGAAATATAATTTAATCTATTTGATTTTTTTTTCACTTTTGAGCTGTAATTTGTAGTAATGATATTGGGAAAATCATGTAACTCATTTCTTCTGCAGACTTTCCAGTTACAAGCACCAAATCACCTTTAATTCTTGTTCTGATAATCTGAATTGAAATGGAAACATCTCATACAGTAGCTGGGGCGGGGGGAAATTAAGAACTATAAACATCTGTTTCCTGTGTTTCCTGCTTTTCTTTTTTTTCTCTCTGTTGGAGCTCATTAAATCCAAACAGAAGCGTTTACAATCACATTAGAAAACAGCCCCCTCTTGTGACAGAAAAGCAATTTGTGTAACGCTCACACAGGAAGATGAAATAATAGCAGGGAAACCCGACAGCAAAACTGCTAAGAGAAAATATTCCATTGTCCTAGTTCCAGAATTGCTCATTTCTCACGGATTTTTTTTCATAATTGTCTTGTGACATATATCAGTTTAAAGATTTTTAAGTTCTGTTCTCCTCAGGAAAAGTGGTCAACCACTTGCATTGCTCATCCTTTTTTTTACTCCCTTTCATTTCTGTGGGTTTACTTCTCTGTTCACAGCACACTAATGCAGAGTTCTCTGCGGTAATTTCATTTGCTTTCGCATCAATACTCATTTTTTGCTTTACCCTTCCATACTTAATGGTACCTTCTAAGCTTTCTGGGCAGGGATTGTTTCACTACATGCTTTGGCATTGTTTGGACCACTGAAGACCTAAATTAGTTTTTTCACATTCTGTGTGCCAGCACCATTTTCATCCTACTTCTGCTATATGGACAGCAGGATTTGAGGAGTTTGGGGTCACCAAAAGCAATGAATTAATACAGCTTAAAGCTAACCTGACCTTCGAAAGAAAAAAGAGGAAAAACTTCAGATTATGAATATGAGAAACAAATGAGGGAGTCTTAGTCACAGCCCACTTCCTACCATTTCTTTTTTCCTGTGAAGACGATTGTGCCCAGCAGCCCAGCCCAGAGACTTCTCAACATATCAAGTTTGTCTTGGACTTTTCTTGTGTTGTTGCTGAGCTACTCATTTTCATGAAAGGAATTCATTTGCTCTACTTTAAGGTCCAGCTTATTTTTTTCTTCTTTCATGCAAACTTTAAGATTTTGGTGTGCCCTATATATGTGCTATTGACATATTATAAGACCACCCATATTTAAAAGCACTCGAGAGAGACAGGTGGTTCCCCAAAAGTTAGCAATAACAAGTATTCAAACTTTTCAGTAGTTAATGCTGATGACTAACAAGCCTCACAGCACATTAGATGCTATGACTATTGTTTGCCTGTAAGAAGGTCCAGCTGTGTTACTAACTTCTATAGGACGAGCTGACCTGCATCATATACATCCCCTTAATTGACTTAGACTCAGTTGTATTGAACTCATCACAGAAACAAGATTTGTGGCTTCTAATCTGAAGTGAACATAAGTTGCACATGTCATGTGTTTAAACACATGAATCAGCTGTAAAATAAATCACACCCTGCAAGACCATACTTTTGCTGTTGAGACACATAACTATTCCACTGCTTGAAGTAAATTCACTGTCACAGCAAAATGTGACTGTTTCACAGTTGAGTCAAATGACTTCATGTTTTTCTTCTTTGAGTTCCACCTGCTGAGTTTCAGTTTGAATTTCACCTACTGGAGGCACTCCAAATCTCACTAGTCCTGGACTTCAGCTTCGTGCTGTACACAACACTCAAGCCCACATTATTTCGTGTGGTTTCCAAAGCAAGTTATAAAGATTTCTCCTAGAACAGCTCAAAATTAAGATTAAATCTACAAGAGATCCTATGGCCCTCTTCTGTGGGAACAGAGGAGTTTTCCATCCTTTCAGCCAAGGAAGGTCAAAAGGCTCTTGCTGCAGAACCACTGGTCTGGACGTCTACTCTGCTTCAGAGCTGCAATTGCTGCTGTCAGTAGTTTAGTGTCTGCTCTGAGTGACTCACATATCTTTTAAAAAGGGAATAATTTTGATGTCACAGGACTTCTCTTTTACACCAAAGAGCAGGATGGAATACATCTGTAATTTAAGGCTAACTAAGAACATTGTGACCTGAGGACAAAGTCAGCAAGAAGTCCCTTTGGCATGCCTTAGTTTGGAAACCCCAAAGGCTTTTGCTGATGGTGAGAGAATTACATGATCCCATTCTTAAAATGGATTTTAGCTATTTTTAGCTCTGTATTTTATAATACATTATTTTATGCTTTAAGGTGGTAGTAGTTGCAAGCAAGTTGATCTTGGACTACAGGAAATCCTAGACCAAATGAAAGTTTCAGGCTACATAAAAGGAGTAATTGAGTGTCTTTATGGAGACAACTGAAGTAACTGCCCAAGGAAGTTAGCTATAGAGTTGGGCTGGAATTAAACCATTAAACCCTGAGAGGTTTCCACCTAACTAATGCAGAGACAGGGAACACAGGGTCTGCTCTGCAAAGAGGATTATCAGCAGGCAAGAGGAAACCACGAATGAGACTTGTCCTGAAGAGCCAGATGGACAAACCTGCAGAATAAAATGTTTGAAAGAAAGACTTTGAAACCATGCAAAAGAAATTTCCAATGCTTGCCTGTGTCTAGCTGCTTTGGAAAGCAAGGATGTGCTTGCAGTTTTGTAACTAATTGTCTTGCATCATGATTTCTGTAGATTTCTCCCACCAAGACAGTCAATATGAGATATGAAATAATTGCTGTGTAGAAATAAACCAGAGTGCTTCAATAATTAAGACGTACTATGACTATTTTTTCACTTTCACAGGTATCTCAGATGAATTCATAACTCCCATGTTTAATTTTTATAAAAGCATTGGAGAGCTGAAGATGACACAGGAAGAATATGCACTGCTCACAGCCATAGTTATCCTGTCTCCAGGTAACTTTTCATCCAGAATTAAATATTAGTGCTTCTGGAAAGAAAGCATGAGGAGCATGAAGTGAGATTTGTAAAAACTTACATTCTACATGGAGTAAGTAAATGTGCGTGTTCATTCTGTATATTCAGTTGTTAAACCAGAAAACAAGCACGTAAATACAAACTCCAAATGTCCTGCTACACCTTCTGCAGGAAGAAACTGCTTAAATGACATGCTTTTAAAAATTATGGGTATCTCTTCACTGCTTAGCAAAACAGGCATCTTCCATCAGAAAATCCCAGATGTGGCTACATGAACATCACCTCTCACCATTGTGGAATGCCACATATTTTAGAGGGAAATTGGGAAAACCTCTAACTTAGAATAGAGTATGGCAATGAAAGTCTTCAGACTTTATTGGGAGGATTCTAAATCAGGTTTTGTGAAGATGGGATGGTGAAGCATTTCCATCACTCTTTAAGTCAGTGTGTCTCAGGAAATTTTTTTCTCCAAAAATCCCATCCTTCCCTTTTCCTCCAAATCCAAGTATCCAAACACGTTTTCATACGAACAAAATAAAAGTATTTTCTAACAAAGAAATTTAATCTGAGGATGAAGATGTTTGATTTCACCCTGGTGACCTGCTTGTACACTCTTCTCTACTAGCTACATTCCCCAGGGGTACTACCTCTCCAAGAACGTAAGGTGTTGCTCAGTTTTTGCAATGCATTGCAAGACATACTCTGGTGCAGAACCACATGGAGAGATGATGATAGAAGTCTAGTGAAGCATTGCAGAGTTAAAATACTTCAATTTTTGAGAAGGTTACAAGTTTTCTCTAGCTAGAAGTGGGAAGCTTACATGAAAACCCTAAAGCAAAAATACAGAATTAAACCTTTGAGATTCATATTAATTTGAAAATAACTATTCTTAGTAGGTATGAACATCAATGGCCAGTATAAATATTTGAATATTTTTATATTAACTTATCAGTGTAAATAATTGCAATGTAATAGACCATATATTTGCTAATCACTTCTTTTCTTTAAAACCATAATCAGATCGACAATACATAAAGGACAGAGATTCTGTGGAAAGACTTCAAGAACCACTGCTGGATATTCTACAAAAGGTCTGCAAACTTCACCACCCAGATAACCCTCAACACTTTGCATGTCTTCTGGGTCGTCTCACAGAATTACGGACATTTAATCATCATCACGCAGAGATGCTGATGTCATGGAGAGTTAACGACCACAAATTCACACCTCTTCTCTGTGAGATCTGGGATGTACAGTGATGGATACTTCCTTATTTTATTTTAGGAGAAATATCTTTTTAAAGGACCACATAGCACTTATTTTCATAGAAAAGTATCCCACGGTCCATTATATTTTCTTTACTGCATTTTTATAGAAACATGCCATGGATTCATAAAAGTCATTTTGTTCACTATGCACAGAATTTTGTATAGCTATCAGATCCTCACACGTGAGTATAACTTTTTCTGTATTTATACCCTCTGATCAGAAAGAGCCCACCAGCTCTTCAGAGGAACCCAATTAATTCCTGCTGCAATTAAGCTGATGCAGTTACTGTTCCTCTGTAAACAAATGGGGAAATGCAAGTTTCCAGTCATAATTTTTCATTGCAGTGTTCTTTCTCTCTGTCAAGGAATATGTTCCAGATAGTTACCGAAATAAACCAGCTGAAATGGTTAATGTCATAGTCATTTACAGTTCAACTCTGAAATGTGTTGATGGAAGGTGTGCAAGATGTTATTTCTTCACGAGATGAAAACTTATGTAATGGACGAAAACCACATACACACAAAAACTCTTTTCATTATATAACATGTAACTTCAATTGCATTATTATTTCGAAGTAAAAATTATAGAGTATCTTTATTTTGTGAAAGTGTGTCACGGGTTATTTGGCTTTATGACTTCGATTGCTGGTGCTTAATGGCACTCAAAAATACCATCGGCAGCACTGCTGGGAGAGGTAAGCGTGTCTGGATGGTGCGCGGAGGTGCGGATGCCGCCGGGGGCTGCAGGCAGGCTGGGGGTGACTTCGTGCCGGGCTGCGCTCCGAGCCACGCCAGCCCAGGCGGCGGCGGCAGCGCTGTGCCGAGCGCTGCGGGAGCAACGCCGGCTCCAGGGGCCCTGCGGCTCCCAGCGCCCGGCGCTGCCGGCGGCAACTGTCCCAGCCCGAGGCAGCTGTCCCAGCCCGGGGGCGGCGTCCCAACCCGGGAGCGGTGTCCCAGCCCGGGAGCTGTCCCAGCCAGGGGGCGGTGTCCCAGCCAGGGGGCGGTGTTCCAGCCCGCGGTCCCGATCCCAGGAGCGGCGTCCCAGCCCGGGGCCGGTGACTCAGCCCGGGAGCTGTTCCAGCCCGGGGGCGGTGTCCCAGCCCGTGGTCCCGGTCCCGGTCCCGGTCCCGGTCCCGAGGCGGTGCCGCGGCTCCGGGCCAGGTGCGGCGGGCGCGGCCCCGCCCCCGGCGCCGATTGGCGCTTTCGAAAGGAGCGGCCGGCGCGGGCCGGGGCGGCGGCGCCTGATGTGCCGTGAGGACACGGTACGGGACAGCGCAGGACGGCACGGCACGGCACGGCACGGCACGGCACGGCACAGCGGTGGGTGTGCCGGCAGCCCGGCCCGCGGGGGAGGTGCGGGGCGGCTGAGGGGCGGCGGGGCCGGTCTGGGCGGGGAGCGGGGCGCTGCGGCGGAGCCCCGCTCGCTGCGGTGCCTCGGGAGCGACCCCCCTGTGTGCGGGGCAGCGCGCTGGGAGTCCCGCGTGTCGGGGAGCCCCGGCAGAGCCCGGCGTTGCGCGGAGCCGGTCACTGGGATCGGCCCGGTCACCCGCCCGGCGGCTGCAGTTCCCATCCAGCGTCTCTGTCACGGATGTCGGAAGGGAAGTGCCTCGAAACTTACCCTGGGGAAGGGAGAGGGAAAGAGTTTTTGCATAGCAGCCTTCAAACCAGTCTCTCCTGTGCCCTATGCAGGCGTTTGAGGTTGCAGTGCTGTTTCTGCAGGAAATTTGTCCCAATGCTCTTGGCTAAAACACTCATTCATATTGCTTAATAATCCGGAAAGCGTCTGGCTCCTTTCTTTGCCCAAAAGCTGGCCGTGTTCCAGGGATGCTGTGTGTCACCTTTGGCATAGTATGAGATCAAGACATGGGAAAAAGTGCATGTATTCCTTTAGGAGCCATAAGGCCTAACTGACCTGTGCATTTAAAATTGTACCAGGTGGATCTTTCAGAATAAGAAACGATTTTAAATTTAAGCCATAATAAACTACTCTTGACTGTGGCCAGCCAACAGCCTGCTAAATGGGCATGGAAAAATGCTCCCCTCCATGTTGCTTTGCTGGAAGAAGTGTGGAGTAGAAATGGGAGGGAGAGAAGAACTTGTCTGTGTAGGTGAGGGAGCAGCTGGGGCAGTGTGTCTGGTGTTAACCAGCCTCTGCCCAAACTGGCTGCTCCTGTGGGAAAGCAGCCGTCTGCACGTCTCCTGCGGAGATGCCAGCTGCTGAGACCAAGTGCTCCTCCCTGATTTCAAGTGGGTTTCTCTGCCCTGACAGCTGTACCCAGGGCCTTTGCTGCCTTTTGGTAGGGAGAGCGTGCTCAGTGCTCTGCTTGTGAGCGCTTCATGGAGAGGTGTGGAAAGGCAGCCTCTGAGGACAGCAGTCAGGTGCCTTAATGTAACGAGTTGGTCGCCACCTTAAAGCCCATCACCTCGGACTGACTAGTCTGGTTCTTTCTCTTTTGTGCCTCTGAGGCCTCCCCAGGGAAGCAGAGCACCTGCTGACTCAGTAATGCAACAAAAAGGCTCTGTAATTGCTGTAGTGATGGAGGGAGTCGTGTTCCGTTCAGTGAGTGTCTCTTGTGCTTACTCCTTTTCTTCTTCATGTGTATGTAAAAAAAAAAAAAAATCTTGACTATCCTGTAGTAGGTTTCAACAGATACTGACATGACAGCTTCTTTCATTTCAGTGTGTTTATAAACATGAGTTTCAGTAGATACTGTCAAGTTGCTGTGGGTTAGACTGTTGGGTGTTGATGGAATAGAAAATGATGTTATATATCTTAAATATAGGGTGAAGATGTAGAAGTGTTTCTACCCAAGTTTTTTCTTAATGAGCCTGTTAACAGAAGGCATTTTAATGAGCCTGTAAATCCCTTTAGGTTCCATTTAAGCTAGGCCAATGGCTGCTTTCATCAATATTTTAACTATCTGTAGGGTTGTGGATTTTGCTTGTTTGTTTATATGTAAACTGTTCAGTCAAGTAAAATGGGATTTGGACTTGGTTCATCTTGTGCTACAGAATGGGTTGTAATTAGTGTAGCATGTCTTGCTGGTTGGGCCCCAGTGAGTGATCTATGAATCCTGATACAACTGATCCTAAGCAGGCTATCTCATGTGGCATCAAGAGCATGTGCTAATTCCCTGAAGTGTTTGTGTAAAGTGCTTTAGTATTTGCTGACTCTGCTGTTTCTCAGAGTGCCTGGGGGGCAAAGTGCTGGGCATCTCTGGAAAGCAGAGGCAAACTGTGGTCTCACAAGTCTAGGTGAGTCATGTCCTGCACCCCCTTTCCTGAGGAATGCCTGTCCCTATGCCACATGTCAATAGATAGGGATGCTTTTCTCATCTCTCTTACTTGATGTTGATCCATAGCTCTAGTCCTTTACTGGAGGTTTGGCACTCAACCAGCTGAAGGCAATACTTGCCTCTCCTGATATATAATTTGGGGCTGACCAGCTGTCTCCCAGTAAATCAGTGTCTCTGTATTGATCCAGCTGTAAGGTGTGGCTAGGCGATAGATCCTCTCCTTCCATCCCACAGAGCCATTGGCAGCAGGAGTAGCAGCAGAAATGAGGTGTTCCCTGAAAGTGGGGCTGGTGGTGGGGGAACTCTATGCTTGCTAACTTGGAACTGGACTTCCAGGTTTGGAAATACTTACAAGTTTCTGGTGTCTCTGGTGTTTTCCTTGTTTTAAAGGGTGAAGCAGGGAGGGGGAAATGGAGAAGAAACAACATCAGGAAGAGGAAGGGGAAGAATTATTAAAATAATTGTTTCTACTGTGATGGGCTTATTCAGTCTTTTGTCCCAGTGGACCTTGAGGGTGTCAAGGTCTGCCTGGAAATGAGAATGGCATGGCCTGAAGCTATGCGGGGGATGTGTTACAGTGTACTTTTATTCTGAGGACCTTTCTTGCAGTGTCTGAACACCAAATGCCTGTTGAATGAGAGTTGATAAAACTGGCATGTGTAGAAAATGATGCAGTCCTATCTGGAGCTGCCAAAATTCAGTATCAGACACTTACTTCATTATGTACAGCTTTTTGATGCAGGGAACCCAACTGGTTTTAGAAGTCAGATTTGGTTATGACTCTGCCTGGTACTGCAGTATTCACCTCACCACAGCACCTTCTCCACATTTGCAGGCTGACTACTTGAAGGTGGCAGATCTGGGTCTTCTTATCCTGTGCCTCTCCTAGTAAGTGGTAAGGCTACATTTATTTGTATTCCCTCTGAGCTGAGCCGTTTGGCATCTGAAAATGGGTAATTGTTACTGTATTACTTTTTCAACTCAAAATTCATGCACTGTAGCTCGCATCATCAGAGAGGGTTTTTGTTAAGTGTTTTTCAGATGCTCTGATAATAAGTGAAGCCTTTTGACTTTCTAGGGAGCTCTGACATATGGGCTTACAAAATAACTTTCTTTTAGGAGAGCAGGCCCTTGAAGTTCAAGGGCCACAATTTTCCTCAATCTCCTCTTTTTTTTTTTTTTTTTTGGCAAGACTAGTTTTTGCTAGGCATGCCACAAAACTGCAGATGCTGAGCATTCCTGTGATAGCTGCAGTGTGAATATTTTGCTTTGTTCATGTTTTGAGTGCTCCCTGTGAATTAGGCTGTCTTTTGTTTTCCCTTGGCAGTTAATATGCTAGAGCTCTTGTTAGCCTATATGGAACTCCTTATTTTAATGAGACCAACTTCTCTACTGGCTGTTCTGCTGTTGTTTTATTTTTTTTTTTAATCAATGAAGCCTCTTATTGAGCTTCTCTTAGGACAATAGCTTTCTTATGTCAAAGGAAAACGTATTCCCCTGGACAAAGCTGTGGGAAGCATAACATGCTCATTAGTAATGCTTGGTATATACCCTTCCTTTCCCTTGTGCATTCATAGAAGGAAAAATGACATCAAGGAGAGGATGTCTCTTTTGTTTTTTTTTTTTTTTTTTTTTTTTTTTTTTTTTTTCTTCCCTTGAAATAAAAGGAAGGGGCAAGAAAGATATCACTTAGAGTGTCTCTGATAAGGTCTGAGAAGTGCTAGCAGTTCTGGTACAAGGGAGTGTCTTCACCTGAAACCAAACTGGTTACTCATTTGCCAGTTGTAGAGGTAAGTTGTTTGAAATACCTGATACATGTGGTCCTATGTAGCCTGTGAGGTTTAAGGGAGTGGGAAGGAACAGGGGGAAGAAAATGACACAATTCTGCTTTCTGTGTAGGATGAAAGGGTGAGAATTTTTACAAGAATTGTGTTTTCTGTGATGGGCTATTCAGCCTTTTTTCATAGGAAGGCCAGATTGTGCAGAAGAGAAGATGCCATCAATATAGAAAGCCTAAATATCTGGGACAGGAGAGGAAAATTACTTATTTTTAAATTAAAACGGATGAGTTAAAAATGTCTGATAATGTTTGCAGTCTGGTTTTCAGTGTAATCAGTATGATGAAATTTAATTGCAGCTATTAAGTAACAGAGCAAGTAAGTTGTTTTTAACAGGCTTCAAGACACGGATAGGAACTTTTTGACATTGTAAAATACCACTGGAAAATTGTTATGGAGAAATACCCTCTGTACACACGCATGCAGCTAACCTGGCAATGCTGCACATCTTTAGACCTGGAGCCTCCAGGGAAAGACTTACTAATCCTTTGCCCAATGTAGAGCTTGTGCTGGATTTTCCCATAGTTGAAGGCATTGCTGGAAAATACAGTCTTGAAAAGAAAGCATTGACTGGATTGTCTCCAAGGTTTCCTTAATGTTCGTTTTGCCAGGGATTTGTGCTGATAACTATATTGCTGCAATAGTTTGCAGCATTCTGTTGAAAACTTAGTGCATGCATGCTGCCTGCAAAGTCACAATCCCAACAGAGATTTATAAAACATGTTTTTTTCGTGTGTCTATGCTAGAATTTGATGATCTTTAAGGTCCCTTCCAACCCACATCATTCTATGATTCTATAAGAGAAAATCTTATTTGTCAAAATTCTTTCTTTGCTTTAAGGTTTTCATGATCTTCCAAGTATTTAATGTAAGTTCAGGGTGCATGTATCTGTCTGCACACATGTACAAGATACGCTTGTGATAACTTGGAAGAAAAAATCAGTGCCAACAGTGTTAAATCCAAGAATGGTTTGAAGTATGTGCATTACTCTTTGGCAAAGTAAGTGTCATACAGCTCCTAAAAGGTCTTGCCAACTTTGGAGCATTGTTTGTGCATTCAAAATTAGTTGCTACTTTTTCTGTAATAACTGCACTTTTATCTAAGGGCAGAGAACTGAAGTTGACTGAATACTGGCTCCAAACCTTAGCTACTAAGATATTTCCCTCTTTCCCCTTCCCTTCCTATTAGATTCATTCTTATTTTTCAAAAGAGCACTGATGGGTTTTTCTCAGGATTTTTGTGAAAGCAGAAGAGACTGTATTAAAAATTTCTTATTTTTCCCCACCCCAGGAGGAGAAACTAATGTAAAGCAGATGACCATGCAGAATGCAGTTCAGGTAAATGCCTTTTGAAGTGTTTAAATCCTGTATACCTGTATAATACTTTTTTTTTTTAATATAAAAGTCTACTCTGAAGCACATGAAATACTGGATTCCCCAGCTACCTCTGATTACAAAAAAATAGTAATTTTCCCCTTTTACAAAGAGCAATGTGACAAGGATAACCGTATGTTATTATCAGATGGGTGACCCATTCATTTTTCAGTGCTCTCAGTTAAGAAGGTTTTGAAGTCTAAGTCTGAGATTATTGAAAAATTTCCATGATGATTAAGAACTGTTTTTTTAATAACCTTATATTCTAGTTAGTCACTTAAGTATAAGTAAATAAATGTATTTTACATACACACTGAACTGAAGGAAAATAGTTAAGAATACCAGAAGGACTCTGTCTTTGGAAATTTTTCTGTGTGGTCCTTTTCTTGAAAGGACCTCTCATTTGTAAATTACCTCTTATCTAGAAAATATGCAGTTCTGAAGAGAAATACTAAGTATTTGTGTTCAAGAAATGTGTTGTCTTTGCATGGGAACATTTCCTCTTTTAATGTTACAATTTTTAATGTCTTAAGCACAAAATGCCTCTGAAATGTTTGATCAAGAAATCAGTAGTCTGTAGTAAATTATATGATAATTTGCAGATTTCATTACTTAAAATGTGCTGAGTTAAGGAAACCCAAAGCATTAAATGCATGTTGTCTTTATTCTGTATTCAGGAAAGTGTGTAATTTTAAATCCAAAGGAGTCAAGAGAGTGAGTGCAGTGGTATATTGCAGGAGTTACTAACAAGAGCAGAACCATTTAATTGCTGTGTTGGTTTGCTGTATGTGTTGAAAGGGAAATGAACACTTACTCTTTGAATAATAGTCCTTCAGTCTAATTAAGAACCACAAGTTTTTGTCATCTGACTGCAAATACTAGAGCTCACTGGAACCTTCTGCAGGTGTGGTTTGGCGACGAGCTTCCCTTGAGCCCCCGGAGCCCTCTGGCTGCGAGGCACGGGCCGGGTTTGGCGGATGTGTGCCTGTATGACCAGTGGATATCTGTGCGGCACGAGGCCACTTTGGTGCCTATGCAAGAAGATCTCTCGCTCTGGCTGTCTGGCTTGCTGGGTGAGCTGAAAAATAAATCACTCTCTAATGAATTTGAAAGCACTTCCAATATTGTAGTCAGTGCTGGCGTGTAATAGCTATAGTACTATTAAGATCTGGTGTGTTTGAGTTTGAATGGCTGGGATAATTGCATTAAAATGCATGCTTTGATTTCAGTTGTATTAGCTGCCACCTCTTAAGGGTTGCATGATTAATTATTCTAATTTCTATTTCTGAATCTTGTTAGTCTAATTAAAATCTAGTTAAACAAATACTTGGTTTTATTTTACTTGCATATTTCTTCTATTTTTCAGTCTTTAACACTGGAATGCTGTTTGAATTGCCTCTAAGTTCATATGACATTACCTTCTGTGGAGTAACTCTAATATTGACCTTCTTTTCCTTAAAGGAATGGAAGTCAAAGCAGAGCAACTGCTAGAAGAACTTGATAACGGGGTACTGCTTTGCCAATTGATTGGTGTTCTTCAAAACACAGTTAAAAAATGTTGTAGCACAAATAACTTAAGGGTGAGTTGTATAATGATTTTTAAAGTACATATATAAAGTCCTAAATTTCAAGAAGTAGTTACAGGGAAAGTAGGTGAGTGAGGCTTCCCAAAGAAGTGTTCTGTATGCTGTGTATTCAGAGACTGATTGACAGCAAAGTGGCTTTATAGATGGGTAAACTCATCCAACAAATTACTTGCTTTGTTAGTCACATCCTAGGGTCCTTACTAGGTTTTTAGTTTGATTTCAGTAGAACTCTTGCTAGAGGAAAATATAGTCCAAGTCTGGAGTTTGCTCCTCTGACGTCAGTGTGGCTTGTTAATAAGATATCCATTGGCACTTGGTAGTATGTTTTATGCCAGAAAGTGGTGGCTGAATTCACGTGTACAGGTCAGCCATAAATGTATCCAAACCTGGAGACAGGCTTCAGTGTTTTCGTTGAGAAACAGTGCTTAGTTGAAATGTGACTGTCTAGCAAGTCTCTGTTATTTTGGATTACAAAGGCTGCAGAATTAAGGAGTGTTCACTCAGTGACTATTCACAATGATAAAGTAGAATGCCTTCTATATTAGTGTTGCTTTTTTCATAGAATACATAGTGAGGTGAACACAAAATAGTTGCAACTGTTTCTGTACTCTGAATTAAGGGTGTATTTTCCTTTACAAATATGCTTTAAAATCTGTTGGCAATGTTGATGTGCATGATGTACTTTTCGTTTTCTTCCCTTGCCAGAATTTTCCTATGAGAAAAGTTCCATGTAAGAAGGATGCTCCATCAGGATCTTTTTTTGCCAGAGATAATACAGCCAACTTTCTTAACTGGTGTAGAGCCATTGGAGTTGATGAGACATACCTCTTTGAATCTGAAGGCTTAGGTAACTCTCTCTTTTTGTAAGATTTGCTTTGATCTCTGTATGAATAACCACCTCGTCAGGGAGACGCTTTGTTATAGACTTTTGAACTTTTTCTCTTGACTCTGCATGTCTTGTGCAAGCTTTTATTTATTTTAAGGCACTGTCCAAGTAGAAGCCTTAAAAAATCTGTTCAATGACTAATATAACCTGCATGATGCTTTTCCAAACTTCTGAAAGTTACTGTGTGGGATGAAGTGGAGACTGAGAGCTGTGCAACAAAATGTCATGTTTTTCTTCAGTAAAAAGAACCACTGAAAAACAGAGGAGAAAAGTGTGGTTTCACTTTCTGTGTGTGGGAAGACCACAGGGCCACAGAGTCAACTCACAATAAGTTTCTTTATTTGGTATTAGAACTCGTTCTTGTTGCAAAAATCCCTCAGAATAATACATTCATGATGGTTACATTTGGTAACGATATCAGGGTGTTGTGTCTGAAATGGCAAAATCCTGTTGGCAATGAGCATTTACTTCAGGATACACGTAATGGATCTAAACCATTTGTATTTTCCCATTTAATAAGATAGTTATAAAAATAAATATTGCCAACTGAGTATGGCTGCCCCAGTGCACAACTGGTGCCATATATCATATTCTAGACTGATACGATGGAATAAAATTTTTTCGACTGCTAGTTAAGAGGATTATACTTCCATCACATGAGAAATAAGGAAATGCTCTTCTATGAGCAATTATATCTGTGAAAATTAATTAATACAAAACTTTCTATGGCAAGCCAAATTCTGTTTTTTGTTGTTTGGCTTTTTTTTTTCTTTTTTTTTTTTTTTAATAAGCAAAATATCTGCCTGTCAGCAGACTAGCAAAAAAAAAAAAACCATTATACTTACTGGATTTTTAAGTCTTTGTGCCATTAAATGCTATTTACATGCTGGCTGGACTGCCCATGTATCTCTACTGGATAAGTCATCTTTTAAGACAGTTGAGAACTCCATTTACATCTGTCTCATTTTGATTAACTAGTAAGTGTATCTTTTTTCAATGCCAGGAAATACAAATGAGTAGAACTGAGTTACAAGAATATTATTTTTTTTTCTTAGTGCCTTGTATGAATTGTATTGCTTAAACATATTAGTTCCTGTAAGTGGACAGGTAATTAGAACCTGTTTAGCTTCTCTGAGATAAGCAGACATGATTTCCTAGTGCTGTGGCTTTCACTTATAGGAAAGAATTGTTTTGAAGTCTGTAACTCTTGACACAGGCTTGCTTTGTGGCATAAATATCTTCTGTGAGCCTTTTTGGCAGCTGAAATGAGCAGACTTGCAGCCTGCTAGATGAAACATTCTTTCCACTGATGTTTTCTGTCAGACTTTCAAGCCATTCTTCATAAATGAAATAGGGGAAGTATAAGTTGACAATTGCCTCTTTCCCATTAGGTACATATAGCAGCACCTTCTGAAAACTGTAGATGACTGGGAAGGAAATAAATCAAGAGGCTCCTGAGACAGCAGAAAGGAAGAGTAGGCATTGTGGGGTGCCCTTTGACATCAAGTCAAAACAAATGTCTTGATTTTTGCTAGGGGTCTATTTGATTTTTTTTCCCTTTTGGGTCAAGCAAATTAAAACACTTTTGTTACAGCTGGCAAATGCACCCACACACATGCACACACTAAATGTATATTCATACATTTAAAGAGAAATTAATCGGCCTCTAAAAGTAGATTTTAGATTATGGCTGTGTCAACTTTCTATTCTAGATTTGCCCTTCATAATCGGATCTTTTACAAAGTAGACTTAGAAACTGGAGTAGATGATGTAAACAAGAAAATCTGACTTCAAACTTGGATTGTACTTTAGGAAACATTTAAAGCAAAGGCACTTTAAATATCAAAGTGAACATCAGGAAGATGTTGGATTTCATCTGTAAATATAGAGCTGAAACTTTTGAAGTAGTGATAAGAAAAAAGATCTGTTGCTTGCTGAACTGGTAACAGTCACCTGGATTGCTCTTTCCCTGCCAAGGTTTAAACCCACTCAGGCTGACTGGCTGTGTAGCCATCCACTTGTCAGCCAGGGCCCTTGCAGTGTATCCTCCTGTGGATGGTGACCTCCAGACTGCATGTACCTTGCTGTGTCTATAGGCAGGAGCATGTACAGATGGGTGTGTTTTCCTATTTGTAGTTGCTAAGTGCTTTTCATCTTTAAGACTGAGATAATGCATCTGGGGGTGGGGATTGGGAAGCATTCATGTCTCTTTCTTTCCTGTTCTCATCAAGGAGGAAGATCATAAAACTTATTTCTCTTAGGAGGAAAATAATGGTTTCGGGAGTGCCAGGATGGGTTTAAAGTCTTTATGGAATAGAAAATTAGAGTTGTAAAGCATATTAATTTTTTATTAATGACAATGTACCTTGGCTCTGGGTAGGATGATGGGAAATTTATAGTCATGGATACCTCATCTTCCCTTCTCTTGGCTGTACCTAATTGCATAGGCCTCCTGCAATAAGTATGAACTATAACTCCTCTTTTTTCTCTTCCCTTTTAGTGTTGCACAAGGATCCCAGACAAGTGTATCTTTGTCTGCTGGAAATTGGGCGCATTGTATCCGGGTACGTGAGCCACACATGCTGCTAACAAGAAATCAAAGGACACATCCTACTAAGTAAAAGCTAAGACAAAGTTAGGACATGATTTTCAGCTGTTAAGTGCAATGCAGTGGATGTTAATTCTGTGCAAAAAGTAATGAGTGGCTTTTCTAGGACCATCATACAACGTGAATATTTTTTCAAATATTTATCAGATTCATTCCATGGAGAGGAGAAACCAGATTCCATGCTGGTTTCTATAGCTGTGTATTTAAGTTTTAAATTCAGCTTATAGATAATGTGTACCTCTTGGAAGAACTCACTGAGCATTAAATATGATTTTAGGTGTTTAAATTTCCCAGCTTTTTGGAAGGCATCTCTTTATTATCTAAATGTAGACTTAATTTATTTCTAGTGCAGAGCTGGAAGCTTTAAGATAGTCTATAAAATGGGATGTGACCTCAGCTGTGTAATTTTGGAAGTACCTTTACTGCATCCTTTGGTGGGACAGGCTTCTGCTAGAAACTTAGAGATACTCCTTCTCTTTGGATTATCAAGGCAATTACTCCTCTGACTGATTCAGATGTCTCTGTCTGTCAAGCCACTTACAAGTTTATCATCAGTTTATTTTTGTTTTCTTTAGTAAATTAGTAATTAAACACTCTGCTTTTGTATTTGAGGTATGGAGTTGAACCTCCTGTACTTGTCAAATTAGAGAAGGAAATTGAGCTAGAAGAAACCCTGCTGATGACCTCTGAGCCACCATCACCTCTTAGCACACCAAAGTCATGTTGTCACCATGGGGAGTTACACGAGGCAGTAAGTGCTACTTGCTTTGTGTCATATGGGCTTTAAATTAAATTTAGTTTCATATGATCTGTCTCAGTAAGGACAGGCTGGTCTTCATCTAATATGTGTGAGCCTCCTCAAACAGAAAACAGAAGGATATGCACCTCTTTTTATATTTTTTTGTTTGTTTTGAAAATGTAAATAAAATGGTGTTCTATGCATTTTGGAGTGCATATAAACTACATTGATTTCCTTTCCCCTCTTCGTTTTCCTTGCTTCTTTGAGTATAAGAAGTGCTCTCATTCATTTTTTTTCCTGATTTGTCAATATTCTATGACTGCAATGAATGTTTCTCTTCAATTTGATCTTTTCATAAAACTTCATCAGATGTTAAAGTAGGCTTTGATGAAAGTCTTTTAAAAGAAGACTTTAAATCAAACCACTGTAGCTCTGTACCGACTGGAAATTAATATGTATGCAGGAAACGAAATTATTTGTACAGCCTGTGAACTGGTCCAGAGGAAATGATGAAATTTTTTCCTATTCTGCTTAAAAATTCATTTATTTTAAAGGTCCTCTGACTTGTAAAAATTCTGTTTCTTTGGGAATGTCAGCCACCTTACTTTCAGATCCTTGCTTTCTCTGAAAACTCACTGTTTCTTCTTCTTGGCAATAGTCTCACCCTTCCAATTTGCTGCATTTCTAAGTGGCTCTAAGAGGCAGATCTTCTCTCACACAGCACTTATTTGGGGGCCCCCTTTCCCCTTTCTTCAATGGTTTCCTTCTTGGGTCTTCCTTCTTAACAGAAGATTAACCCAATAGATGGTTAAACTCAATCTTCTGTCAAAATACTAACAAATGCTTTCAATTTAATAACTAGGTAAAACATATAGCAGAAGATCCTCCCTGCAGTTGTTCCCATCGATTTTCAATTGAATACTTATCAGAGGGACGTTATAGGCTGGGTGATAAAATACTCTTCATACGAGTAAGTAGTTTCTTAGAACTCCAATTTATATTTCTTTTGGGGAGGGAAATATTTTTAAGTGAAATACCTAATTTTTATGGAGTTGTTTTAGAATTACAGAATTATTTAGGTTGGGACAACTTGTCATTCAATCACTTATTCTAAATAAGTGTAATTGCTCCATTCTTTACATCTTTGATCCACAAATACTGATTTTACAACCACACTAAACTAAGGTACTGTTTCTCTGTGGTGTCTCTAAAATTTCAGTAGTGACTTGCAACATAAATGCCATAGAATTAGCCTGAGAATGTTCCTTGTTCAAAACCTGGATTCTTGAGATTTATAATTTGCGGGGTAGTTGAGTACTCTCATCAGCAATCATAAGAGTTTGTGTTGCAAGGACATCCATAATTTAAATTAAACCCATGCCCAGAACTCTATATGTTAAACAAAGATTCTTACAAATGGTTAAAATGTCTTCTGTAAAGATGTTTCCATTATCTCCTGACACAGAATTATTATCTCTGCAGGAGAAGCTATCTAATAAAATAATTGAGAAGCATAAACTTTGTTTATCACATCATTTCTCTGTCTTAAAATGTTTCTCTGTAAGAAAGGAAGTGCTATTTTTAGTAAATTTCAATAGGGGATAATGTAAGACGAAGGAAAATAAAACAAGATAAAAATTTCTCCTGTTCTTCTGCTCCTACCCCCTTTTCCCCATTCTCAGATGCTACATGGCAAGCATGTGATGGTACGTGTTGGTGGAGGCTGGGACACCCTTCAAGGTTTTCTGCTCAAATATGATCCATGCCGAGTGCTTCAGTTTGCAACTCTAGAACAAAAAATCCTGGCATTTCAGAAAGGGGTCACCAGTGACAGTGTCCCCAGCTTGTCAGCTAGAAATCAGGAGCCTCCTCTTATGAATCCAATGTCAGCTGTCAATATGTTTCAAAAGCAGCCATCAAAACCTCCTACTCCTGGGTTAGGTCTTGGGGCCAGTGCCAAGAAGGCTTTATCTAAACGTCCTCAGTCCCCTGCCCTGGCATCACCAAGAGTGCCAGTGACTCCATCTTCCACTGCTAAGTCATCAACAGCCAGGCCCAAATTACAAGGGTCCTCAGCAACAGGTGTGCAGCCTCCTTTCAAACCATTAGCTGGCACCTCAAGGAAACTGGAGTCTCCTGCCTGCAACTCACCAGCTTCTGCTCCTTCACAGCCTGGAGGCAAAAGTTCTTCACATACAGGACCAGGAACAGCTCTTGCTCCCTCTGAAGTGTTGCGCAAACGTATTCGGTCCCCTGATGCTACCAAGGTGAAATTTGCTCTTCCTCGGGGCTCCCCAGCACCAGCACTCCATCCTGTCCTCTCACCCTCTAAAAAACAACCATCTCTCTTGTCTGGGACAGCTGGAACAATGACTTCGAAACAGAAGAGTGTCCCTGCTAAATGCAAACCTGTATCTGCCACTAAAACCAAAGCAAATTCCGTCGCTCCCAGGGCTGCTCGGCTGCCAGTTACAAATCTGCGCTCTGTTGCCAAGTTTGCACATTCTCAGCAACTCCTGACAAAACCTCCTGAAAACGATGGTATTCAGATCTCAGATGCTGGGTCTCAGCATCCTCAGAAATCCCCACAAAAAACTTCTCACCTAGCAAGGAACTTGAAAACTGCTTCTGAGCTAAAACTTTCTGCTTCTGCACCTTCCCTTGCAGTTAGCAAAGCATCAAAGTCACCACCTCCATTGTTACCTACAAGCAAAAATGTGTCATCAGCTGGCAGCAAGCAGCCAAATGCCAGCAATCCCCCCCAGGTTGGACCCTCTTTACCCAAACCTGCTGAACGCACACCTTTGTCTGTTGTACGGCTGCCTCAAACTTCAGCCAAAGCGGCAGGGACCAAAAAGCCAGCACAGCCTTCCACAAAAGGTCAGCGTTCAACCAAAAATTTGCAAACAAACAAAAGCTTGGCCCCAGCAGCCAAGAAGCCGCTCCCAAAGGAGCAGGCATATAACAAAGAAACACCTGGTGTGTCAAAAGTTCCTCTTCTGAAGAGCAGGCAAGATGATCACTATTTTGTTATGACAGGGACTAAAAAGGCCAGAAAGTAAATTCATTTCTTACTTTCTGTGGAAGTCTCTGTTTTGTTCAAAAGGGATTCTTGTAAATGCTACACTGAGGACAAGGAAAAACAGTTAAATAACACTACATTTAATATGACATATTAGGTATAACCTGCCTTTTGCTGCCTAATTTATTGTAAGAGCTGTGTTTATTTTGCGGTTTAGAAACTTCTATTTGGACATGTTTAGAAGTGAGCTTACTTGCTGTGTAGCACTGTGGAATGGCAAATATCCTTGATCTGCTGCAGAAAAGTGTGGGAGAGGAAAAGGGAATTAAGGCTGATGCTTTTGCAGCAGAACTCTGGTGGTTCTGGCACATCTGCATTGAGGTGTGCACAAGCTGTAAAATTTCTAATACCTCAAACAAAACCGGGTTTCGTTCACTGGTGTCCCAGAACCCAAATCTGGGCCACGTGTTTTGGAAAGAGAAGATATTTCTAGTCCTGTTTAGATTTGTCAGATGCCGTTATCAGTGTTGTGCCCCCCCCCCCCCCCCATATGCCTTAAAATGGATTGGGCTCACTTGGAAGTGAAGCTTGGTTTGTTTTAAATTGGACACGGATTATCATGGCCTTGATTGCTCATTTTCACTGTGCCTTAGCCTCTCAAATTCAGAGCAGAACTCTTCAGTGAGCAATACTACCTTTAAAACCCAGGGCAGTTAACCTTGCTTGGTCCATGCTCAAATCTCACTAGCGTGACTAGAAAGCTCTTGTTGCATGGAGAGATGCTCCAGAGTTCCAGGGAGAACACTTTCCCCTGGCCTGGAGCCCCACACCAGCTCCTACTCCTGGGTTGGAGTCCCAAAACAGCTCTGCTGCAGCAGCACTGAGCTGCAAGCACTGACCTGCTCTAGCAGAGCTTTACTGCTCTGCAGGAGTGGCCTTTGTATGTAAGATTGAATTGCTAAATACTTTTCTTAGTGCTACAGGTTAATTTTTGTTGGCACTCTAGTCTGCAGTGGCCCTTCTTGTTTTGTTTGTGAGATATCTTTCCTGACTCTATCACTCTCTGGAGGTGAGAAGTTGTTTCCCAAAGAGGATTATAGTCTGCATTTGCCTTCAAAGATCTATGCACTGTTTACACCCAGCTCCTGAGGTCTTTCAGTGGGTTAAACATCTGTGGTGCTCAACACCTTTACCCTGAGAAATGAGCTTCATGGTAGATTGAAAGCTACTGTCTTTGGGAGTAGTGCTACTTGGGTTATTTTGGAGTTAATGAACAGTTGTCCCTACAGACACTGAGGAGCTCTGAAGGTCTCTGAAGACACACTGATGGTTTCCACAGACCATCGCTTCTGCCCTCCATTCTCAGTCAATTTATGGGCAGGAGTGGGTGTCACTGCCATAGAGGCTCCTGGATGGTGGAACAGGGAAGTCTTTCTAAAAGGAGAAGAGTTCCATGGAATATGTAGTTTCTGTTGTTAAGGCGTTTTATTTTGGGTTTTTTTTCCTCTGGAACTAGAGTAAGCAAACATCATAAACTGAGTTCTCATGTGATGTTGCAGAGTCATAGAGCTGCTTTTCTGAGCACCTTCTTAGCTTATTTTATTTAATTTATGATTCTATTTATGCATATCTACTGTACAATACTGCTCATAACCTGCTGGGAGTAAGCAGTAGATGCCAGTATCCAAATTATAGGAGGAAAACTGATCTGTTCTGATAACATGGACACAAGTCCTACAAGATCCCTTACAAAGTTGTGTTTTTGGGAGAGGTCTTGGGCTTGCTTGTTTTATATGTACACTGGTCAAAGCCACTGCTACAATGTTAGGCAGAATATTGACTATAGTGGATTGCTGTCAGGTTTGATAAATCTGGCACATGGTTTCATAAGCTGAAAGCATTTTACAGTAGATGACTTGCTTTTGATTTTTGAGCTTCCAAATTGTGAGTTACATGTGATATATCTCATGCAGATTGATAGCTGACTTCTTGGGGTGTTCTTTCTGTAATGGGTCTGGAAGAGATGGAGTTAACTTTCTTCATAGCATCCCATATGGGGCTGTGTCTTAGATTTAAAATCTAAACCAGTGTTAATAACACATTGATGTCTGGGCTGTTGCTGAACAGCCCTTTCCAGGGTTAAGTCTTTCTTTTTCCTGCTCTGCCTCCACAGTGAGTAGGCAAGAGATTGGGAGTGAAATGACTGGGAACTGGCCAACCTGAACTGGCCCAAGGGCTATGCTATACCATAAAGCATCACCTCAACAATAAAAAGAAGGAAGAGGTAGAGAAGGAAGGGCGTGCAGGGTTGTGTGGCTTCTCAGGTGGCTGTTTGCCAGCTGGCTGGGCACCAGTCTGTCTGTGGGAGTAGTGAAGGATTGCCTTTGCATCACTTGGTGGTTTACTTTTCCTATCTTTTCTTCATTCATTAAACTTTTCAGCCAGTGAATTTTGCTTTTGCTGCTCCTCTCTCTTTGTCTTGCTGGAGGTGGAGGAGAGATAAGGGGAGTGAGCAGCTGCTCTTGCACTTGGCTGCTGAGTGGGGTCAACCCACAGCACCTTTTAAACTATTCACAAGGTTTTTAGCTTAAATTTAAACACTGAGGCTTTCATACCTCTGTGTAAGGCAACTTCAACACCTACCTTGCTAAACTACAGAGAAGATGAAGTAAATGGCTTCATCTTTGTGATATATGATGTCATGTAATAGACTGAATTATAAAGTTTAAAATGAAATAAAAATGCATAAACTGTTACAGTTGAAGCCTTAATCAGCTAAAGTTACACATGGGTAAAGTTACACATTTGTAAAAATAGTGTATTTGAGTGTGATCCAACTTCTGTGAAAATTGTAGTCGCCAAGTGCATACTCATGTAACATGAGGTGAGTAACACAGTACCTCCTAATGAAAATACCTACTATTTTTGCAATGTTTGTTGCCAAATAGCAAGTCTCCTCTTCAGTTTATGTTACCTTTTGTGAGGGAAAGATAATTTTGGAAGAATCTGACTGAATTCTCCATGTGATATTGGTGTCCTCTGTATGAGTACTTACTAAAATAAACATACACTGTGCCTTTTATGTGCACCCGTTTCTTCTCCTGACATCTTTTCGCAGGAAGGGAAAGAGAATGCATTTCAGAAGGCTCACATTTTCTTCCTACCACCACATAAATAGTAGATTCCATCTCTGCCACAAACAAGCTGCATTTAATCTATTGCTTTGTTTGGAGTTCAAGACATCTTTACTCTGACCCTGGTATCAATGTGGTTAATTGTGTAGAAGGGGCTTCCTACTCTTTCCTAGCTGAGCCTAAGTAGTTTCAGATACACCTCTGCAAGTTGTGTTTGCAGTTCGACTTGAAATATAAAGCACCAGTGTGCCAATATTTTCCCTGCTTCTATCTTGTCAACAAACTTAAGACCGATCTATGTGTCTGTTGCCATTAATGACAGAAATTTAATTAGTTTTGTTGAGTGAAGAATTGGGTGTTCTCACTGGACCCACCTAAGTAACTTTTGTTTCTTCTTCCTCATTTGATTTTTTTTTAAACTCTTTTAATGCCTGCCTTTGCCTTTTTCAAAGTGTCTTCAGCTCCTGCCAGTCTGGTGCTGGTGCCTAATCACACAGACTTATGTTTCCACTTCAGCTATCTCTAGTAAGCAGATGCAAGTGGCATCTACCATCCTTATTCCTACAGGACCAAGCTCTGCATAGGTGTTAGCTGCAGCTTTTTTTTTTTTTTTTAAGGGGATGCTGTTAAACTGGCCAATAAAAGGCAAAGGCAGTCCAAGATTTTCTTAGGTAAGTATCGTAACCCTATTTTATATATCCTGAGCAGATACACACACACACATATATATATATATATATATATATATATATATATATATATATATATACATATACATATACATGGTAATTTCAGGGCAGTCTTCCTTCTAAAACTTGAAGCACCCATAACTTTGAACATCAAACTTTTCTTTTTCTTTTCTACAGGGAAACTGAAATGTGTTTGTTAGATGAGTGAGTGCTATGGGGCCATCTGGTGTCTATTAATTTTATAGAGACTACTCTGACAATGTAAACCTCTTATCTTCCCTAGAAATGCACAGGCAAAACTTTTCTCTTTGATTCAAATAAAACTTTCAGCTTGTGAAATCCAGACTTGGTCTGAAATAAATAATTCAAGAGACGTTTAATGCTCTAAGACCTTTTCATTCCATGCAAATACATTCTTGAAAACCTTTTTATGATTTTCTTTTTTTAAGAGCCAAGATTGAAGATCACTTCCTTACTAAAAGTTTTGAAAAATAAATTGTCTGAAATGTAAATAAGTTCAACACTTATATATTTCAAACATTTTAATAAAAAATAAAACATGTAAATATTCGAGGGGTGAGATCTGCCCAGGTTCAGATCTGGCTAGCCAGCAACTCCCATTAATTGAGAAATGAGCTTTCAGGTGTGTCACCTGGTGGGAATGACAGCAGTGGATGGCTTTCTACTTGGGGAGGGGTGCTGATGTCTAAAGAAATGCTATTATGGCATTTGGTGTGAAGTATTTTGTTCCAGATGGAAGAAAAACCTTCAGGATGGGAGCAGCTGGCCATTTCTCCAAATAATGTAGCTAGGCAGAAAGTATTGACAGATTTGTTGTGCTAAGAGTTTTTAGAAGGTAAGATTGCAGCATAGAACTTTGATGTAAAATTGGCCTTTAGTGCTGAGTCAGAAAGTACTGTGCAAAGCTGAGGTCCTACTAAACAAAGCCAAACTTGCATGCTTCCTCAAACACCCTATTGGGATATTCACTCAGGAAAAGTGGAATACATTAGTGTTTGTCAAAATACTCAGACAGGGCACCTCAGAACCATATTAAAGTCTGTTACATGCATCTTTACAGTGAAAGCATATGCTTTACCTCTTGCATTTTAAAATAAAAGTAATTGCTGAAATTCAGGTTGAGAATCTTCTAAATTGCTGATCTTTTATATTATTATTATTTACTTTTCTGAAGCACTACTGCTGTAACAAAAAGTGCCTTGTAGCAGAACCT